GGATGGGCGCCGCTCCCTTTGCCATTTTCACCTTCCGGAGGATTCCCCCCAAAAAACCGGGCCGTGCCGGGCTCTCACCTCCACCGACACCGCTTTGTCCACGCTTTTCTTGCTGGGGGTCTCGGGCCCCGTTTGGGTCTTGGCGGGCACCATCTCCGGGGCTCGGGAGGGGTTATTGCTCTTGCCGGGGTGGCTCTGGGGCTGCGGGGGGCTGTGCCCGAAGCCGGGCACCCCCAGGGGGTCGGGGGCGGCCGTCAGGTGGTGCAGGCTCACGGGAGGGCTGGTGGGCATCTCCAGCTCCAGCCCTTTGCTGAAATCCGTCTCCGGGGCCACCTTCTTGGGCGACTGGCTCAGGCTGCTCGGGGAGCTCCACACGCCCTCCTCCACTTGCCTGGGAGGGAGCGGAGACACTGAGGGAGGGGCGCAAAATCCGGGTTTCCCCCAAATCTGAGGTGCTCCGAGCACCCCGGGTTCGAAGGGAAATCCAGGAAACCCTGGAGCATCCCAGTGCAAACGCACAAATCCAGGAAATCCTGAAGAAATGGGTTGGGATTGGTGAAGTTTTTGGGAAGAGCTCTGCCAGCCCACGCTGATGGCAGGAATTGGGATCCATCCAAACCCTTCCCTTTCCCGGCTGGAAGTGCCCTTGGGATTGATCACCTGTGCCCCATGTCACCACCTGTGCCCTGTGTCATCACCTGTGCCCCATGTCACCACCTGTGCCCTGTGTCATCACCTGTCCCACACCTGCACGGTGCCCAGTTCTCCTCCCTCCTGGGGAAAAACTATCCAAGGTTTCCCAACTTTCCAACTTTCCAACTTTCCCGGCTGGAAGTTCCCTTGGGATTGATCCCTTTCCCGGCTGGAAGTGCCCTTGGGATTGATCCCTTTCCCGGCTGGAAGTGCCCTGGGATTGATCCCTTTCCCGGCTGGAAGTGCCCTTGGGATTGATCCCTTTCCCGGCTGGAAGTTCCCTTGGGATTGATCCCTTTCCCGGCTGGAAGTTCCCTTGGGATTGATCCCTTTCCCGGCTGGAAGTGCCCTTGGGATTGATCCCTTTCCCAGCTGGAAGTTCCCTGGGATTGATCCCTTTCCCGGCTGGAAGTTCCCTTGGGATTGATCCCTTTCCCAGCTGGAAGTGCCCTTGGGATTGATCCCTTTCCCGGCTGGAATTTCCTTGGGATTGATCCCTTTCCCGGCTGGAATTTCCTTGGGATTGATCCCTTTCCCAGCTGGAAGTTCCCTGGGACTGATCCCTTTCCCGGCTGGAAGTTCCCTTGGGATTGATCCCTTTCCCGGCTGGAAGTTCCCTTGGGATTGATCCCTTTCCCGGCTGGAAGTTCCCTGGGATTGATCCCTTTCCCGGCTGGAAGTGCCCTTGGGATTGAGGAATTTGTAGGGATGATCTCTGCGTGATCCCGCGGGTTGATTTCCCTGGAAAAACCGGGCTGGAATTGAGCGATCCCAATCCCCCGGCAGGGCCGGGAGCGTCCCCAGAGGTTTCCCAGTGGGATGGGGCAGGTAAAATCCACCCGGCAGCGGCTCCGGGAGAGGATTTTCCTCTGGGAGAGGATTTTCCCCTGGCAGAACAACTCCCTGCTCCTCGGGAAAGAGGTTTCTGCTGATTCCAGGGGCTGTGTCTCCAGCCCGGTGTAAAATCCCGCTTTTTTTTCCAAGGAAAAATGAGGTTTGTGTCAAAAGAGAGGGTCCCAAACACACCGGTAGAGGACTGAGGGTGTTTAGGGGGCTTTTAGGGGTGCCAAAGCTGATTTTGGGGTGATTTCAGGGGAAATTTTGGGGGTGCCAAAGCTGATTTTGGAATGATTTCAGGTGATTCGGGGATTTTTTTGGGGGGGCAGTTCTAGACTACTTTAGGGGGTGATTTTAGGGGTGACTTTGGAACGATTTCTGGTTATTTTGAGGTTTTTGGGGGGCAATCCTAGGCTGCTTTAGAGGGTGATTTTAGAGGCGATCTTGGAATGATTTGGGTTATTAATGTTTTTTTGGGGTACAATTCTAGATTGCTTTAGGCCGTGATTTTAGGGACGATTTTGGGGATGCCAAAGCCGATTTTGGAATGATTTCAGGTGATTAAGGGTTTTTTTGGGGGGGGCAGTTCTGGACCACTTTAGGGGTTGATTTTAGGGGCGATTTTGGGTTGATTGGGGGTGATTCGGGGGGGGCTCACCTGCGGATCTGGGCCAGGGTGTCGGTGACGGTCTTGCAGCGCTTGAGGAGCCCGTCCAGGCGGTTGGGCTCCTCCTTGAGGAACTTGACGGCCTCCACCTCCACCCGCAGCACCACCCGCATCTTGCTCTGCAGGCCGGGGAACTGGGCTGCCAGGGGACACCGGTGTCACCGCCTGGCACTGCCGGTGTCACAGCCTGGCACTGCCGGAGTCACTGCCTGGCACTGCCGGAGTCACCCCCTGGCACTGCCGGTGTCACCTCCTGGCACTGCCGGAGTCACCCCCTGGCACTGCTGTGTCACCTCCTGGCACTGCTGTGTCACCGCCTGGCACTGCCGGTGTCACCGCCTGGCACTGCCGGTGTCACTGCCTGGCACTGCCGGAGTCACCCCCTGGCACTGCCGGTGTCACCTCCTGGCACTGCTGTGTCACCCCCTGGCACTGCCGGTGTCACCTCCTGGCACTGCCGGTGTCACCTCCTGGCACTGCTGTGTCACCGCCTGGCACTGCCGGTGTCACCTCCTGGCACTGCCGGTGTCACCCCCTGGCACTGCCGGTGTCACCTCCTGGCACTGCTGGTGTCACCCCCTGGCACTGCCGGTGTCACAGCCTG